TATATTATATAGGTAAAACTGATAAAAAATACAAAAGTTATTAACTTTTAAAATAACTGCAATTAATACATGTAATATGACCATAAATAATCAACATATTTATGGATAATCCGGACCTAATTATTTTTGGTTTGAAAGTAAATTAAAATAAAACCAAGCCTACTAACGCAGCATGTAATTTAGCCACATTGGATCCCGAAGCATGCGGGGCTGCCACTTAGACTCAACACGTTCTGAGTTAATATATATAAAGGGAAGGGGATGATATATTACCAGAGTTGTCAAAAGGAAGTAATTTTATTTTATTTTTTCCAATTGAGGGTATGCTATGAATATTGAAAATATTTAAGGGAAAATTCAGAATATCGTTATAGAAAATGTTTGTCAATGCACTGATTTTGTGTGTAAGGCAACAATAGGGAATGGAATATCTAATTATTTTGGAAAATATAATTTTTGAATGCCTTATTTACATGTGGATGTAGTATATTTGCGAAATTATTCCATAATCCGTAGCTTGTACATAGCTTGTGTGATGCACGGGTGAACTATATTAAATAATAATTATAAATTAATGAGTGAGTAAAAAATATTAAATAATAATTATGAATTAAGAAGTGGGATTAACATGTGATATAATTTATAGTATAAAATTATCTTGTTTAAGGTAACATAAAACATGCATTTTTGATGTACTGAATTTATTAGAGGAAACAAATAAAAGAATATTTTCTGTTAGGTTTTAAATTTTAGTGTATACATGGACGTATCTCATTAAGGCCTGGGCTGGGCTGAAGTCCAAGCCTGCTATATTTTTATAATCACTATTAGTTTGAAAAAAAAAAAAATATTTGTATTTTTAGCCCAGCCTACTAAATTAATCTACTAACCACCAATATAATTCTCTTATTTATTAAGTCAAAAAACTACTAACACCACTTTAATAAAATATTATACATTGTTAATTCACCCTTTCCACTAGGCACTAACCCACAAAACACCACTATACTTCAAACTCCAATCAAATAAATTAGTCATGGTCATACCCCTCCTCTAACCACCAAAACAATGAATTTAGGGGGAAAAAAAATATTCAACAAGAAAGAGGCTAATTTCATGAAGACGATTTAATTTATGCTTATATTTTTGAACCACATATTAGATCTTTATTTCATTTATTTAATTGTTTTTATCTATTTTCTCATTTTACTTGAAATATTTAGGGGTTTAAGAGTAATTGTTAGGATCATTAGATTGCAATTCTTATTTCGTTGATTGTGTATGAAGTAGTAATTGCGTGTTATCTCGTATCCTCTAGTGTGGTTGTTGTATATCATAATTGGATAAAAATTTAAATTGTGAAGGCATTTCATTTTTCTAATAACTATGTCATATGAAAAATCTATTTATTTGTATTGTGAAATTTTTAGAAATTCACATGGAGCACCAACCTTTGGCTAAAAAGGAAAATCCTCATTGATATCATCGTTCTTTACAAAACGGGATCAACGTCAAATTAGTGAAAGCACATCAAATACAATACAAAAATGAGAATAATAATTTTTTTTAGAAGCTCGTAGAGCACATCTTCAGTGAATATTTGAAGAAAAAATATTATGTGATTTTTATGAAAATGAGTTTTTATAATTCTAGCCCAGTCTACTCTTAATTTCTGGATTCGTCCCTGAGTGTATATCTAGTAGGATTTAGAATAATATGTTCAAATGTAAACTTGGATTTATAGAGTTTTCATCATAGCAAACTCTTATTTAGATTAATATGGTTGAATTAAAATTTAAAATAGGATTGTACATGTTTTCATCATAATCTATTTGAAGGAAAAAGAACTTGAAAATGAATAAAATTAGAATTATTCATGTTGCGTTAGGAAATCATATTTGAGATTTTAAATAATAAAATTCGATATTCGAAAAATCATATTTGATGTATAATTCAAAATCATGTTGCAACTAGAAAAAAAAAATCAGATTTCATATATAATAGATTATATTTTTATAGTGATATATAAATTAAAATTTGAAATGATAAATGATTTTGTATTTATTAATATTTTTTTTTGAATAATGGGAAGGAAATCTGAAGTCCACAAAAACGTAAACATTAACCGAAATTCTTAAACATAAATTCAAAAAACACATCAATTTACGGTGCTTTTAAGGCTGACAGATTTTATGGCAATTAATTAAAAATAAATTAAAAACTGACAGAATTAGGGTACTTTTATGGTTGTCCGATTTTTTGGGCAAGAAATAAAAAAAATTGAAACTACCAGAAATAGAATGCATAATGGTTGTTGACTTTTTCTTGTTACTATTTTTGGTAATAAGTTGTCTCTTTATATATATATATAGATATAGATATAGATATAGATAGATAGATAGATAGATAGACTGTTGGCAAATTTCAATAGATTTTATTCAGCCAACATTAATAAAAAAAATAGTACGCTATTTAATAAAAATCTTTATGACCAGCATTCATATGACCGTTAAACAAATAAAATTTTATTATTATTAATTTATTATTCTGTAACAGCTTTACTAGATTTTAAATTTTTTAAATATACAATATTAAATTACTTTACAGCTAATATTCCTACTTTGTATTATAGTTATACAATAACAAAAAAAAAAAAAAAAAAAACTGATTTATATGGAAGTTAACTAGTTTATATTATACATTTACATATAGTCAAACTTTTAAAATGTAATACACACTTTATCTAAATTAAATTTTTAAATATCATATAGGTACCTATAATATATAAATTTTTATTTTCCTCCGTGCATGTACACATGATCAAATACTAATTAACTCATGAAATCTCAAAATAAGTAAGATTTTTAAAAGTTTTAAAATGTGTATGTTAATTACATATAGATTCCTAAAATGTCCACATATTTATAATATCTTATTATTAAGGAATTTATGTGAAAATGAAATATACAAGTCATTTATGTCAATATTTTTGATTTGTTGTCTGAAAATTAAGTCATTTACTCATATATCTGAAAATAATCAAAATTTTAGATCCTACATAAAGCCATTTATTGTGTCAAAATACAATTGTGAAGTCATGTATGTAGATTTTTAATTTATTCGCTGAAAATTAACTTATCCACACCATTCACATAAAGCTTTAAAAAGGGAAATTTTATTTTTTAACCTCCTAAACTATGCCGATTTTTAGAGTTTGCCTTACATACTTTTTTTCTTGACAATTTGCCTCCCATAGTATCGAAACTAACAATTTGCCCCCTCGATTGAAAACCCTAATATGACACAATTTTTTTTTTTAACTCAATTAACGATAAATTTTAAATTGATCTTTAAAATTGATTTAGGGCTTTTAAAGCCCATGGCGAGACGAACAAAATGAGGTATGGTTTGTCGATTTCTGAAAATTGATACCTCTCTAATCGATTGACGAAGATAGTAGGAGCACATATGTATAGCAAAAATTTCAATTCAAGTTTCTGATAATCAAGGTATCTGATTTGCGATTAAAATGTGTCATTTGAAAGCTTGGAAGACGAGTTTTCTAACGAAGTAAATCTTATGATAATCCAACGGTCGGATTTTGGTTAGTAATCTAAAAAAATGCTAACTATTCATCAGTAATTTTCTAATTACTAATCAAAATTCAACCGTTGCATTTTTATAAGATTCACCTATTAGAAATTTGGTGTTGCAAGCTTTCAAATGACACATTCCAATAAAAAATCGGATATCTTCATTATCAGAAAACTTGAATTGAAATTTTTTCTATACACACGTGCTCCTATTATCTTTGTCGATCGATTACAGAGGTATCAATTTTCAGAAATTGACAAAATATACATCATTTTGTTCGTCTCGCCATGAGCTTTAAAAGCCCTAAATCAATTTTAAAGATTAATATAAGATTTATCGTTAATTGAGTTAAAAAAAATTGTGCCATATTATGGTTCCCAATCGATGCGGCAAATTTTCAAGAAAAGAAGTTCCTAAGGCAAACTCTAAAAATCGCCATAGTTTGGGAGGTTATAAAAAAAATCCTTTAAAAAAATGCAAAGATGATAGTCAAAGTTTGAAGAAGGGACACAACCCACAACAACAAAAGAAGATATCTTAATAACACCAACATAAATGGAGAGCACTACAAAACTCATCAAGCATAGTAAACTAAAATACAACCAAACAAAATAAAGAGCTCCTGCTCCTTAATTCCTTCATATTTTCCTATTATCCCCAAAGGAAGCCATTTCCCACAACTCAAATGAATTATCAAATGCAAACTTAATGATAAAATAAAANGGAAAAAAGTTTGACATTGAAACTTCGGGGCTATACAACATATATATTCATCCTCTACGGGTCTCGTAATAAAAAACTCACCGTGCTTAAATAATTTAATATTTTGCTGCAATTTCAGTTATTTAAAGACTAAAATTGCAACTAATTCTCAATTTTTTTTATCTTTTGACTGGATTTATTATTAACAATTTAAATCCTATAATCTAGAATTTAGTTCCAATATCAGTCTTGTAAATTAAAAGTTGTTGCAATTCAACCCTTTGAGCATGGCATGGGGACTGTAATAAATTAAAAGTTGTTGCAATTCAACCCTTTGAGCATGCCATGGGGGCTGTAATAAATTAAAAGTTGTTGCAACAACCCTTCGAGCATGGCAAGGGGACTAAATTACAGGACCAAAAAGAAAAATTAAAACATTAAGACAAATTGCTATAAAAGTTAAAACATTAGGACTAAAATTGCTATGGCACTAAAAATACATTTTCCCCTATCTTAATAACACCAACATAAATGAAGAGAGCACAACAAAACTCATCAAAGCATAGTAAAATACAATCAAACAACATGAAGAGCTCCTGCTCCTTCCTAGCTCCTCATTCCTGCATATTTCACTATTATCCAGAAAGGAAGCCATTTTTTCCACAACTCAAATGAATTATCAAATGCAAAATTAATGATAAAATAAAGTACAAGAAAAAAAAAATGTTTGACATTGAAACTTCGAGCTACAACATATTCATTCCTCTATGGCCCTCGTAATCCAAAAACTCCCCTCCGCCCGCGGGACCAAACGGAGCACCATACCCAAATGCCTCCACGGGCGGTGGGCCCCACGGGGCAGGGGACTGGAGGCTGGATCCGGAAGCTTCCGGTCCTGAGAAACTGGGCCCGGGCCCGTGGTTTTGCGGCGAGTTCCCGGGCCTCTTGCCGCCGGAATTCGCGCTTGTGAGGGTAATGGACACGGATTGCTGTTGTTGCTGTTGTTGGAGCTGTTGTTGGTTCTTCATGGGAGACTTAGGCCGCAAGGATTCTATGTCGGGGGTCGTTAGGACGAGGTGTGGGGCCTCGGGGGGTGGGTTTCGGCCCCCACCCCCGACCCAAATCTTACCATCCTTGTCAGCAAAATTCCGGATATACGTCTGGAAAAGAAAAAAAAATGAGCGACGAGTTATGGGTAGTGAAGGGATTTGACACTTTTCATTACAACGAGATTTCAACTAGATTTTCTCTAAAGCACTACTTATCTTTATCTATCTACCATCCTAAAAAGTACATCTCTCTAAGCAATGGTCAATGAGATTTCGACGAGAATGCATATGAAGAAAGCTTGCAAACGAAATATGAAAAAATCATAACTTAGTTGAGGCAAAGTTGCCCTTAATATCACGACGTTTTTCGAAATTGCAGTTTAATCAAGACATTTGCAAAAGCTTTTGCAAGTTATATCACAATCTTCAGTTTGTTGCAAATCAGTGGACCAATTTGCAGAACCTGTGCAAATTTTATCACAATCTTCAGTTTGTTCTTCGGCCACATCAGCGCTAATTTTCTGAACCCGTGCACCGATTTGCAACAAACTGAAGATTGTGATATAATTTGCAAAAGTGAAAAGATCGTGATCAAATTGCAATTTCGGAAAAGGTCACGATATTAGGGGCAATTTTGCCATTCCTTGAATAAACCAACACGAACAGCGTAGGAGGTACACACTTATATGCAGTGACTTTGGGAATGTACATGCAGAAATACGTATCACGGTTGAAAACATTGAGAATGTACCCATATCTTACAGGTGAGGAGAATAGAAAAGAAGAATTGGACCAAAAATCAAGTTTGCAGAAGGACAAGACTGAAGTTCTCCAACTTCACTTTTAACTTTCTATGGAACTAAGACTGCCAGGATATGTTCTTATTCCAAAAATAGGGCAAGCATACCTCAGAATTGAAGTTTGATGAGGACAATTCTTTACCGACGGTCAACCACCCAGAACGAATATTATGGTCCTCACCAAACAGCTCCAGCCTTCTTCGACCAAGAGCAAAATGCTCAACTATTCGATACATGTCCTCAGGCTTTGCAGTTGAACCTAAAATCCCAATGTAAAATAGTTTATTGTGCCAGTAAGGATATTCACTGTATATCCGAATTTCCAGAACAAAGCGAATAATCAACACCCCAGCCTAATACAATAAGTTGGGGAAAAATGTGTTTGGGAGTGCTTCACTGTCTTTCTTTCCTTCTACTTTATGATAATCAAGTATTTTCACCACTTCAACACCCCAGCCTAATACCATGCCCTTATGGAAATAGAAAGAGTAATGAAGTCAAGACATGTTGACACCATAATCAACGCTGACTAGTTTAAATTCTTTTCAGCTTCTCAGTAGAAGTAAATAGGTAAAACAATAATCCAAGGGGCTTAAGAAACCAACTTTCAAGGGCATAAAGAAAAAATCAACAGTTTTATGTAAACTACTTGTCGCTCTTATCACATATACTAGAGATTGAGAACCAAATTAGACGGCAGAGAAAAAAAAAATTCTATAATGGTAGCATGTAACTCAACTGTATGAAACACTTTACAACTAAATCAAATCTATCTCAAGATTCAAGAAACAACAAAAATAGAAGGATGAATATGAGAAATGAAAAAAAAAAAATGTTGAATATAATGAAGTTCATCTGATGCAAAAATCACTCTTACCATAAGGAGGCTCCTCTGCAATTATAACATCAGTATCAATGTTCGCATGGATTATATGACCATCTGTACTGCGACGCACAGTCCCTTTTATGCCCATCAGACAGTGTTCCTTAAGAGTAAGGACAAAAGAGCTATTAGGAAACAGAGATGCAAATATCGTGTTTCATTCCATCACATAGACTGAATATGCTTAACAGAGTGAGGGACGGCATAGTAACGGCAGAAGCAGTATTTTAAATATTTCTAAATTCTAATATCTCCAACAATCAGCAAACAATCAAATACTATTCTCCATCAAACAAATACATAAGACAGATAGCACAAAGTTTGAGTCGGTCACAATCCCTATGCCGAAACAAGTCAAGGAAAAAAAATTCATGCTGTCATATATTCTCTAGTTAGAATTCCGTGTCATTTCTGTTTAAATAATGATAGCTCCCCCGTTTCAATTTTATATGGTCAATTCCATACAACCAATATAACATAATTTGTCTCTACTACAAAGAGCAAACACAGAAACAAAATATAAAATGTTAAAACTCTAATTCACATGAATATCTTCCTCGATGTACACATTTTACGAGAATTAGATGTTAAAGACTATACATTATTGGGATTGCCTCAACTCCTTACGATCAATCAAACAAGTTTGACATCCATGTTTGTTAAGGACATCATTTTCCTTTCTACAGAGAAAAATAAAAAAAAAAATAAAAAAACTGAGAATCTTTTTATTACAATTTCCAGTCTAATAATTCTTTAGGATTGAGATTGTCTAGTTGCGGCATCATTTCTGTTTACAGGTCTCATCATACTTGGCGTCTTATTCTTCTCATTCTAAAATCTATCTTTCCTTTTTTCGTCCACTATTATTTGTAGATTATGAATTCTAATGGGATCTACGTAGTGAGAAATCAAAACACACATAAAAAATATTTATGCAGTGATCTATTACCTTTGAACGCTGAAACAGAGTATGTGAATCATGACGTAATCCTGGAGTTGCATTTGTTTTATTGGTCTTAACCCAGCATATATCTTCACATCTGCGAAATCCCCACTAAATACAACAAAAAATAAAACTGAAATGAAGATAAAAATGAATTTGTAAATTAATCACAACATGCAAAGGAAAGCAGAGGCTACAAACATTTGAGGCACTCAGTTTTGAGGCATTGGATATGGAATAAGAAAAAGAAAAAAGTAATAACAAAATATTAAAATCATTCTAAAGTAAAATTGTCATTAAAAGTGTCTGGAAAAATGAAATGTAGAAGAGGATTAGAGATTTTGTAATACAAAATGGACTGATGATATTTGACATGAAATTGTTTGGTCAATATATAATTGGATATGCTCGGTGATTGACAATGAGCATAAGTCAACATTGTATGCTATAAAACGTTTTCACAAGCAATGACATGCGGAGCAAACAATTTCTACAATGAAAATGATACATAAAATTTTCTCAAGCAACCACAGCTTTAGAGTTGTTTCTTACCTTCTTTAGACATTGTCGACCTTGCTCTAGCCCAACACCATCCCCAACCCAAAGGAATATAAAAGACGGAGTGTCGGCAATTGCCTGCAATTAGTAGATAAGGTAAAGGAAGTGGAAAACTCAAAAAGCTATTCAAATTACAAAAACGATAATTTTGAAACAAGCAGTTCATGGGAAATATTTTACACACAAAAATCAGAAGAGGCAACAAATCTAGTTTGAGTATCTCCTTAATGAATTAGCAATGCAAAAAAGCCAAGGTAAAAATTATGGGAAATTACCTCAATCTTCAAGTTCATTATTTCTTCAAATGTCCAGTACTCCATATGGTCAGTGACACCTGGTGCTCGGTGAACATATTCTTCCCACGGCGGGTCAACAAGAATGACATCAAACTTTGTCCCAAAGAACTCGGGAGAAAGCGCTTGCTCCCTCAGATCACACTTGTAGTACATAGGAGGAGAAGCAGATTTTGAAACAATCTCATCTTTTTTCTGTATGAGCTCCCGGAGTTTGGGATAGTCCTCTACAACACTAGTCAGCTCGAGCTCCCGAATAAAATTTTGTGGCCGCATACCAGTATCTACAAAGTTCTGGGAATAGTCGTTCTGCTCTCCTCTAGACGGGGCTTTCCCAGGGGGAACATTATTATTTCTAGGAGGAACCCATCCTCCAGAAACTTTCTCTTGTGGCTGACCACGAACCACAGGGGATGATATTATTGTATTAAAGTTTGGACTAGACAAATTAGGAGGCATTCCCCTTCCAGGCCCCGATGGACTGAAAACCAAACCACCACTTGGCGTGTTACCCACATTAGGAGAGAATCTGGGTGGTCCCAATGGTCCAGATGGGACAGGTGGCAGCCCGGGAGGAACACCAAGCATATTCATCTCAACACCTCGGGCTCCTGGCCATACAATGGGAGGTTGAAATGGTGGAATGAAGACTCCAGGTGAAATTGGACCTGGAGCAGGGGACATGTTGGGAGGTAAAGACTGCAATGATCCAGGAGGCGGCAAGCCAAGCGGCCCAAAAGTCGAACCAATCAAAGGCATCGGGATACCAGCTGGTTGACTGTCTCTCCCAGAAGGCCTACCCCTTCCTCCTCTCCCCATTCTATTCCCTCTGCCACCTTGAGAAGAGCTTCTGTTGAAGGAGCCAAGCTCCTGGTTTCCAAATGGAGGTAGCGAGCCACCACTGGAACTCTGTCCACCTGTACCACCACGACTAGGTGTGACTCCTTTCTGGCCTCTCAATTTTTCTGCATTATGATAATCATTATCATCTCTCCATAAATTCTGATTGTCGCTATCCATGAACCTATCCTTTCTATCTTCACCGTTTTGTGCTGATCCTTCGGTGTTTTGTGATCGATCCTCCCTCGGATGAGAGATATCCTCAGGATCAGGTTGCTTCGTGTCGGATTGCTGAATGGTCCTAGAATCATCTCTCGCATAATCAAATGGTTTGGTTTGAATTTCAATAACGTCATAATTCTCACTTGATATTCCGTATTTTGACGACGTTTTCACGGCTTCGGTCCTGTTCCCGTCTTTTCTACCACCAATACGACCATCAAGCCTGTCACGACCACGCCTGGGCAATTCCCAATCCCTCATGTTTTCAAAGTTTGTTTCACCTTCTCTTGTTTCTTTATCTTGCTTTCTTTTCCGTGAATCATTAAAATTCTCCCGGTCCCTGTTTCTGTCAACCCAACCATCATCTCTTCCTTTGGATCTATCATCCCATGGGGCATCTTTTCCCAATTCCTTCCTCCTAAAGCTATTGCTTCTTTCATAATCTACGTCAAGATTATCTGGTTCGATTGGACGTCTCCCGATCTTCTCAGGGGTCCTGGAAGTATAATTTTCTTCATCAGTCCTAGTTTTGCCTCCCGCCCAGGTCTTAACTTCTTCATCAGCATTTGAAGATCTGGCATAGTTGTCAACAGTCTCCCTAGTGGAATTTCTTTGTTGTTTGTGCCCCTCAAACCTCTCTTTGCTTGAGATGTCTTTGTGTGTCATAATTCCCATATTGTCTTCCTCGACAACTTCATATTTTCCTCTGTCACTCCTCTCGGAATCAAATCGTCTCTCGTCTTTGTCATTCGGTGATTCCAAACCCCTGCCTTTAATATCATTTAATTCAGCTCCCAAAGAATCAGTTTTGTCTCTTTCATTTAAACAATCGAGTTTGTCATCCGGAGACATGCCGCTCCTGACATCATTTTTTTCTCCATAATCAACAGTTTTATTTGTGTTGTCGGCCTCGTCCCATCTTCTTCTATGGTTCCTTCCATGTTCAGCATGCCCAATTCCCTTCTCTCGGCTATTATCCCTTCTCGAAGACTCTCTTGAATCTCTTTCTTGCAAATTTTCCAAATCTGTAACGCGTTCTGAATGCCTTGAAGATGATTTATTTATCTCACTCTCTTCAACTCGACTATACCCTCTACTCTCGAGTTTGACCCCACGTTCATACTTATTATCTACTTCTCCATCTTGATACCAAGTGCTCAATACATCCAATGTGTTCTCTTCTGGCTGCTTTTTCTTCACCTGCTTAGAGCGCGACTCTTTCCTGGTTTCATATTCGTCCGGATCACTATCTCTGCTTGACCCACCCGCTCTCTTACGGCTTTCATGTCTGTCGGGAATACTTCTTTTCCTTCCATTACCATCCAATCCATCATCTTCACCACTTCCCGATTTCCTAGATTTGCTCGACTTCTGCTTTCTCTTTTCACTAACTACCCAGTCATCATCGTCCCTTATGGAATCAATGTTCACCTCTATATCCTCCTCGGTTTCATGTACAGGAGAGCCCATTGCAGAGGAGACCCTTATAAATTGATCTCGACTTTATTGCCAAAACAGTTAATACTCAATTACAAGTAGTCAATCCACAAGCAGCATCCTACAGTAAAAGATAGAAAAATATATGAGGATTAAAAAAAATCAATTTACCTTCCATCCAGCAAAACATGCAAGTAGAAAAAGAACACACAGCGTGAGAAATAAGAATAACAATTGCAACCAAAAACATTATGCCTTCATTTTAATAGTGACTTACAGCATCCTAATCAAGACTTGCTGAAAGAAAATAGAGATGAAAATATGTACGGTTGGGCTACCCCGGCCCTTGCCCATCAAGCCAAGGCATAAAATATGACGAGGGCTGAGCTTTAATGAAGCCTAGGATTTAATAGGACCAGACCATACCTGCGGCTCCTATCATAGAAAAATGCTACGTCATTACCTATCAATGATAAAATATTTAAGATGCTAACAAAAAAAGGTAGGAAGCCTTATCGTGTTCTTCGAGGATGATAACACTGCAAGCATGAGCCTGCCAGTGATGTAACATATGCATTTTTTATTCCCATGAATTCATGATACGAGCTGTGAAAACTGACCCTCCCAAAACTATTCATTGCAACGAATTGATACGACAAAAAATTGAAGATTGGAAAGTTTTAATGCATTAATCCTACATAATGAACCTTTCTATGGATTGAGTCAATCCACATATGGCATTTCCAATATAAGTTTCCAACTCAATGGCAGCAATTATATGCCATTCATCCACATCCTAAAACTTTAATCAATAACCACCACAATGACTGAATGGAACATGATAAAATCTTTAATTTTACACATTGAACCTTTCAAGGGATTGACATACGAGACTTCACAATATCAGTCTCCAACTCAATGGAAACAATTGAATGTCATTCATCCAAATCCTAAAACTTCAATCACTAAGAAATTACGCATTACAAGCTGTAAATAGTTTGAACAGTATTAGCTAGGTAGCAAATTTTACAAAATTCTCAGCTAGTATTTTGTAGAAACAATTATAGTTTCAGTCCGTGCAAGATTTCATCATCCTCGGATTTCAGTAAAAAGAAACAGAAACTACATCTATCAATCTAAGAAAACACACACAAATACCAAAAAAAAAAAGATGATAACTTGGGCCAGTCAATTGAACCAATTCAGGTCCGCCACTAACATATGTGATGTGAGAAAGTAACTACAGCCTTTTGCAAAATCCAATTGCAGCCACGGACTCACCAAATCCAACCGTGACCATAACACATCAGTCAAAAAAGTTAGCAAAAGAAATTAATTTATCCTAATTGCTCTTCAACCAGATCGAACAGATATCAAAGCTGCTTCAAAACTCATATATCAATGCATAATAAGAATCAAGTTCAACAGACAGGNATAGAAGAAGAAGTTCCTACCGATATGTTGATTGAGAAGCGCATCGGCGGCGGCGGCGCGTGAGGCGGCTGGCTCTCGGTTGTGGTGTGGGCGGAAGCGCCAGGGTTGGCCGTCGAGCGACTAAACTCCACGGCGGAACGTGAATTTTAGGGTTTGGTTTTGTAAAGTGCAACTCGGGCAGAAGAGAGTACAACCTTTGCTTAATGCATCTTTGTTTTTTGTTCGAGTTTAATGAGCACCGACGAATGTTTCCCGGTTGACTCAAAGAAATTCGGGTCGGACTGATTGTTTAGATAATAAGGGTGAGCAGAGCACAACGAAAACAAAGACTATTTGTGCAACTCAATTTATAAAAATTGGTTCGGTTTTGATTTGAGTTTTTATGTGTTACGGTACAGTTCGATATTTTTTCTTTACAAGTTGGGAAAAATAAATTAAATAATCAAGTCCAACAGTGCAAATCAGTACGGTGTGATTATTTATAGAGTGTGACCATTTTTTAGTTCAGTTTTTATTGTGCAGTTGGATTTGAAAATTTCATAATTTCGATTTCAGTAGTTTATCTTGCATAAATATATATATATATATATAATTACTAGTTGATGTATTTAATAGAATATTTAATAAAATTTATTTTCATTTCCCTCCAAAATGAGTTACATTTTTTTAATTAATTACTCACTAATCTGCTAAAATCGTTACACCTTAATATATATATTTTTATTATTTATTTTTTGGATCAGTTACAATATTAATTCTAAACTAGTAGTCACCCGTGCGATGCACGGGGATATTATTATCTAGAATGTTTTTAAAAAATAATTTTGTATATTAATTGTGTTATGCAGGTAATGATCATGATCATAATAATAGACATATAAACATATCATTAAATTGAAAAATCATATATTATTGAACACTTCCCTATATACAACATTATTGGTTTGATTCTTTGGCACGTCATCTTCGCCACAAATTAAGATTTTCAAACCTTTTCGGTTAGTGACACGGGAAACAGCAACATATAACTGGTCATGACTGAACACTGGTTTCTTAAGAAATAAGCCAACATAAGATAATGATTGTCCCTGGCTCTTGTTTATAGTCATGGCGTAAGAAACCATAATGGAAACTGTCGCCGCTGGAACTTGAAAGGAATTCTAACATCAGAAGGAGTTATGGCCATTCTTGGAATCAACACCTTATCACCAACATGATCTCCTGTGAGTATCTTACACTCAAGAACGTGAGTCGATAGCTTTGTCACTACCAATCGTGTCCCATTACACAAACCCATAGAATGATCCATGTTCCGCAACAACATGACTGGAGTTCCAATCTTCAAATACAACTCATGGTTCGGTATTTCGGAACACTTGATACTATTCAAAAACTCAGGCGCATGGAGATCAGATAAAAAACCATTATTAGAATCCGATTTGCACGTACTGTCAGAGCTCAAGTACATACGACCATCCAACAAATTCAATGATGTCATGTACTGATTGATAGACTCGACCACATCCAACGTCGGCGCTAATATAGCCCTATCCTTCAAATAACTTGAATCGTCGGGTGCCTCTTTATACATTGCATATGTGCTTTCAACTATATGAGCAATATGATCATCAAATGACTAAAGCAAAATGTCCTTGGGTATGTCTAAAGGTGCACATCCATCATTCAACCCTCCAATAGTTCCATCTCCGATGTTGGCTATCCAATCTGCAAACCGTGCAAGCTCATCACGTTCATCCGAATTAGCAAGTCCCTGAAGGCGCATTTTTTCGTAAGCCTAAGCACAGTACAACTCCTACATATGTCAGAAGAATTAATGGCAGCATTGACTATGTCCTGACGGCTACCCTTTAGAATGACATGAAGGATTTGTAATCTCCCCAAAAAACAACCGGCTTCCCACCAAACGGTTTGTTCAAGTTCAAAGGATCAATTGCTCCCATAATACCCTACAGCGACGTCTGTACAGCTTCGAAACAATGCTTGTGCATCATTGGTGCTTCATCTCATATTATTAGAGAAGCACGAATTATCAATAGTGGATCTATACATTCTGATATACTCTCGACTTGATAGTTTCGAAATGCATAGACAGCACCTTCTTCGAATTCATTGATGAAAGTTGGGATGTTGATTGCTTTACTATTCCAGTAATTCGTCCTTCCTGAAAAAAAAAAAAGAAAAATAATATTAGATATTAGATATTATAATTAACATGATGAGAAAAATGGATTATCATTATTTTTTATTATGAATTAAATCTCAAGGTCATGAAAGACAATTTCAAGGATGTTCTTGTAGGAGGAGTATTGATTAGTCTTTTGAAAAACTCGAACCACCCTCAACTTGAGCATTGGCCTGTTGATCCTTGTTACTTGCTTGATATTTCCCCATGCTCTCGCCATTTTTCTATTTGTATGTGAAATTGTAGTGTGAGATTTTTGTGATACGCGATATAGGCTCCGACGTTTATTTTATAGCCATGGGATGAAAGTAGATAACCATTAGATGATAAGATTAGTTAGACTCATGTTAATCTCTCTTGATAAGATTAATTGCACGTGATTTTAATTTCAGAGTTCCAATAAATTCAAACTCTAATATCATGATAAGATTAGTAAAACGTGATTTATCAGATTGTTAACTCTAGATTCATCCACCGTAGGACTCTGCATTTGTTATGTTTTTTAAATGAATGACATTGAATTCAAATGGAATATATTTCGGTCAATCCAAACACAAATGATTATCACGTTGGTATGGACCGAAATTTTTATGATGATAAGATAAGTGGAAAGTAGTTAAGAAGTGGAGATTTTTGTGTGATAGCATCATTACATAATTACCATCACCATCAACCTTTCCATTAAATTTCGGTCCATACCAACGTGATAAAAAAAAAATTTCTTGAAAATATTTTTACGTCAAACAAATAATATAATTACGTCAAAAATTTTGTACGACAAAATTTTAATTCAAACAAATATTTCTATCTTTTTACGTCAAGATTTTAGTAATAATAATTTATATATAACACAAACTAAAATAAATATTATAATCAAATTCATATTTATGAATATAATTTTTTTTTTTTTTCCCGAAACGATAGAGATACTATATTAAAAAAACCGCACAAGGTGCGAAGAGAAGGCAGCCAAAGGCTGAATAGTACAACCAAAGACTAAAAACTGGGAGGCAGATCCAGAGATCGCCTAGAGCCGACCCCAACAGGGTAATACTCGGGGAACACACAAAAGACAACAGAAAAACACAACCACACTAAACCAACTACACGAACAAAACTAAAAAAGACCCCAACAGGGTAATACCCGAGTGTCGGACCCCCACGGAGTAATAAATTTGACACCCGGGCGCACAGAGGCCAACGGCCCAAACCTAAAACACAAGACCGAAGACAATCTAAAACACCTAAACAAACAAAAAACACACAGAAATAAAAATAAAAATAGCACGAGCCCTTCCACAGCAGCTATTCCAAGCCGAACCAGCAGTCACCAAATCGACCCAATGAGGCTTCCTCTGCCCAAGAAAACCGACTCGCCACTGCCGAACCAGCAGAATATAATTCATTATGATAAATTATTGAAAAATCACGCAATATAATCCATTAAATGTACTTGATTTAGTTATTGTTAATTCCGTAAATTTTTTTGTTCAAATAAAAAATACACCAATTTTGAATTCAAATGGAATTCAAAGAGTGATACTCGGTCGATAAAAACCTAAAACAATTTTGAAATCAAATTGTAATTTTCAACCTTATCATGTATGATGATAAGATAAGTGCAAAGTAGTTAAGAAGTGGAGATTTTTGTGTGATAGCATCGTTACATAATTAACATCTTTCCATTAAATTTCGGTCCATACCAATGTGATACAAAAATAATTGTTGAAAAATTTTTTACGTCAAAATTTTACGTCAAACAGATATTATAATATTTTACGTCAAAATTTTACGTCAAACAAATATTTCCATCTTTTTACGTAAAAATTTTAATAATAATAATTTATATATAATACAAATTAATATAAATATTATAATCAAAATTCATATTCATATTTATGAATATAATTCATTATGATAAATTATTGAAAAATCACGTAATATAATCTATTAAATGTACTTAATTCAGTTATTGTTAATTCCGTAAATTTTTTTTTATATAATCTTATATTCGAAATATTTGTTAAAATTTGTATTAATTTATATCTTGTATCATGGCATTCTACCAATTTTAAACTAATATACAGTAGAACTCAAAAATAAAATGTTCAAATTTTCACATTCATGCGACATTTAATAAAAAAAAAATATCCAACGATATTTTATAACGATAACAAATATAATAACACTAAAATTTATTATAGAATTCGGAATTCACCGACATGGAATGAAATTAAAATTCATAATAATCAAACTTAAATATCATAAATATCTCCTGCTCCTTGCTAATGTTGAGGGAAAATATCAACATTTTGAGGGAAAATTCCACCATATTTGATAACATGAGTTCTTCCATAAATTTATTAATATGAATTAAAATATCTTTTAAAATTACATAAATTTGATATTACAAATATAAATATTTACCTGTTCATCATGAAAAAGTATATGGAATGCGTTCCAGCTCTCCCGTTGGTGATGCGTTTCAACTATTAGAACTGCTTTCAAGTGCAAAAAAGGCTTGTCCTACTCACGGAATCGAGTGTATCCCAGACTGGCGGCATTTATTATCAATGTGTTCTGAAATTTATTTTTTTTTTTCTCTGTAAAATTTATCTCGGTTTTTTTTTTCTGTGAACTGTGAATGACGTGAAACTTTTTTTTTTTTCCTAAACTGTGAATGACGTGAATTGTTGAGTAGTGGTAGTACATATGATTTTATACCAAACAACCGTTTTTGAACTAAAGATTCGCATAATTATGTAATAATAATTATGGATCCAATTGTGACTTACCCACATATCCCTATAATATCTCTAATCAATTAATTTTTGAATTAATCATGTAACGATAATTATGGATTCAATTGTGACATATCCACAATCCCAATAATATCTCTAATAATAATTATGGATCCAATTGTGACTTATCCACATATCCCTATAATATCTCTAATCAATTAATTTTTGAATTAATCATGTAATGATAATTATGGATCCAATTGTGACTTATCCACAATCCCAATAATATCTCTAATAAACAAATTTTTGAATTGAAGTATGACTTTTTTAAAATTTTGTGTATTATAACTGCAGTAAATATGGTTTCTATATTTAGATTGTCAAAGTTTTTTTTTGGTCAAAAGTTTCTAAAAAGGTATTTTAACAACAACCTTTTTATATATACTAGTACATACCCCGTGCGATGCACGGGACAAAGATATTAAATGAGTTATTTTCACACCCTGTCCGTTTAAGTCTAAAAAATAATAGAGTTATTATCTATTTTTTACCTCTTTCAATTAACGTTAAATCTAAAAAACAATAGGGTTATTATAAGTTTTTTTCCACATCTTTTAACCAGTGTTGTTTTTTTAGCAAGAACATTAAATATGAGCATGTTAAGGCTAACTTGTAATTAATATATTATCTCACTAAAATATTTATACTAATAAAAATTTAATTTTAGCATATAAATTTATCCCTTGATATAAGAGAAAGTAACAGTTTTACTTATTATGTTCAGTATATAATATTTAATTATTATTTTATTATATAATAAAAATAAATATTGTTAAATAGTGTAGTAGAATTGTTATAAAATTATATGAATTATTGTTTTTGCAATATGGATTTAATATTTTTAAAAGATTTGATAATATAACAATAATATATTCTTAATGATATAATAATATGAGATACGGATTTACATAATACTATGGATTCATGTTAAGATATTAAATTAGGTAATATATGATTCACTAATTTGTAATCTGTCTCTTTTTATATTGAAAATAATCATGTGATTGAGTAGAGATAACAATTATCTATAAATTCCTTCATTTAAGGAATAATTTTTAAATTGGTCCAAGTGTTGAATGCAGTCCGATTCTCTTGTAACTAAAATGAGAAGAGATTTTGAATTTCAAATTTTCACTTCAAAACCACACGTAAATTTGGATGCAGATTTTATTAAAAATAAAATGAGAAGAGATTTTGAATTTCATATTCATTTTAATATCTGTCAAAATTCTCAAAAATGAATTCAACAAAACCCATAATTCTAGGGGCATTTAATGCTATCATATTTTATGATTTAAAATATCTAAAACTTTCTAAATATGGTGTGCACTTACTTATTTTAAAAGATGAACCGCTTTTGTTACCAAAAAATGTGGGTACAATTTTGAATGTACATCCCGTCCAAATATCAGTTTTATTTTAAAATAAAAATTGCACGTGGTTTTAACCAATTTACACACTTTTTTAGAAAGAAAAAATTATTCATTAAGATTAGAAGAATTGGTTAGAAATTATACAACTATTTGTTTCGTAAATTTGTATCCAATTTACACGGTTTTTAAATTGATTTGTATTTAGAATTTTTTTCATAAATAATTGACACATTTTTTCATAATTTTTCTTTTTTTGCATAAGAATCCCTTTTTATATTGAAAATAATCATGTGATTGAGTAGAGATAACAATTATCTATAAATTCCTTCATTTAAGGAATAATTTTTAAATTGGTCCAAGTGTTGAATGCAGTCCGATTCTCTTGTAACTAAAATGAGAAGAGATTTTGAATTTCAAATTTTCACTTCAAAACCACACGTAAATTTGGATGCAGATTTTATTAAAAATAAAATGAGAAGAGATTTTGAATTTCATATTCACTTTAATATCTGTCAAAATTCTCAAAAATGAATTCAACAAAACCCATAATTCTAGGGGCATTTATTGCTATCATATTTTATGATTTAAAATATCTAAAACTTTCTAAATATGGTGTGCACTTACTTATTTTAAAAGATGAACCGCTTTTGTTACCAAAAATGTGGGTACAATTTTGAATGTACATCCCGTCCAAATATCAGTTTTATTTTAAAATAAAAATTGCACGTGATTTTAACCAATTTACACACTTTTTTAGAAAGAAAAAATTATTCATTAAGATTAGAAGAATTGGTTAGAAATTGTACAACTATTTGTTTCGTAAATTTGTATCCAATTTACACGGTTTTTAAATTGATTTGTATTTAGAATTTTTTTCATAAATAATTGACACATTTTTTGCATAAGAATCTCTAAATTTGTTACCAAAAAAGAGATGATTTAAATTTTGGTAAAAAAATAAAATATAATACGAAAAAAAATGGGATTCAAATTTTGCCATAAGAATCTCCAAATTTGTTACCGAAAAAATAGGATTCAGATTTTGTTTCTAAAGATTTAACTGTATTTTTTCGAACTTTCCATTAATAGTAAGTCAAACATTATATTTATTTGGTCAAACTTTCTATTAATGTATTTTTCCAACAACCTCTTTATATATATATATATATATATATATATATATATATAGATATAGATATAGATATAATATATATATATATATATATATATAATTGCTGCCAAGCTTCAATAAATTTTATTCAGCCAACAATTAATAATAATATGAGTTCATTTAATAAAAATATGTTCACCATTTAATAACAATAAGTAACTTTCAGTTACACAATTTATTTTGACATGTCTCATTTTGGATTTTGTCCATTTCTGTAATGCCTTTTTATGTCTGAAATACAAAATATTTTTGTTTTATTTTGATACTATATATTTTTTGTGTTATACAAATACATATTTCATAACTAATTAAGAATGGCTACAAATATCTCTATTTTCTATTGCAGTCATACAGTAATAAAGAAAAAAAAAATCGGATATTACAAATATACATCAAATATTTTGAAAAATTAAATCGTATAGTCACGAGTTGAAGAGGTTGAACAATAATTATTTGTTGTGATGAGGATTCTGACAATAGGAAAACCACGAATATTGTATATAAAGACGTGTTTAATAATATTTAGGTTCACTTTTTTAAATTATTTTTTTCCTCATTTATTAAGTTATGATTTTTACTTTATTCTATATTTTCAATAATTTTTTTTTCTATTATATCGTTTTCCGTGCAAATGCACAGTGTAAAACTAGTTATTTAAGAATTTAGAAATGTGTATGATATGGAATAACTTTCTTTTATAAATAAGTTTATAAATTTCACCACATTTTTTGGTTCTTTGAATTGTATTTAGGGGTAAGCAAAATCGAGCTGAAACTGAAAAACCAAGCTGAATCGCAAGTTGGTGCAATTCAGTTCCCTGGTTTTTAATGTAAAAAAATTTTGTTTGATTTTGGTTTTGATTTATTCCTACATTGTGGTACGATGCGGTTATGGTTATTTATAAGTACAGTTTTCAGTTGTTTTAGGTTCGGTTATTTCAATTTTTAGTTTTTTTAAGTTCAGTTTTGCTTGGTTCGATTTTGAATAAAATGCATATAAAAATAGTGATAAACTGAAAACCAAGTCGAACTATTCATTTTGATGTGGTTCGGCTCGATTATTCGAATGTAAAAATATTTCACATCGATTTCGGTTCGATTTTTTCTAAATTGCGGTGCATTTCGGTTCTTTTTTTATAGGTGCGATTTTTTGCGGTTCTGTGCAGTTTTTCACCGATTGTTGCTCACTCCTAATTGTATCGCATAATACGGAACAACTTTCTTGTATAAATAAGTTTATAAAATTTTACAGCATTTTTTTGTCACAAGACTTATAAGCTAGATCTCTTTGTCGATCAATGTGAGATATCTCATAAGTTACATATTCTAACACGCCCCTAACTTGTAATCCCTTTTCTAACCATCTTAGGTCACGCTTGTTAGCAAGAATTTCTAGAGTCATATCAAACTTGCTCTAATACCATGTTAAACTTATAGATTTGGGAGAAAAGGGTCTGGTCCCATAGATGCTAAATGCACTATTAGAGTGTGAGTCTATGTGACATATAAGTAAGATTTCATTTCAAAGTCAATTGATAAAGGGAGTTAGACATGGTCAAGAGCCGCCCCGCCCGCCGACCCGACCCTGACCTGGCCCGGCCAAACCCGTTGACCACGGGTCCGGGACCGGCCCGAATTTTAGACGAGTCGTGTAAGGGTCATACATTTCATGACCCGGCCCGGGCCGGGTCGATAACCCTCTTTTTTAATTTTTTTTATTTCTTTCTATTTTTTTTAAAAAAAAGTAATGGACCCGGCACGAGTATAGCTCCGTGCCGGTTCAGGGTCATTATTTTCGAGCCCGTCGACCCGGGTTTTGGCCATGTCTAAAAGGAGTAGTAGTTCATTAGGCTTATAAACCAGACTTAATTGCCTTATAAAATCAATGTAGGAAAACTCGAAAGTAATATTCCAACAAGTTTATTACTATTTAACCCTACCAATAAAAAATAACCAAAAATCCACAGGGTTGAAACAATTAAATTCAAGAACACATAAACTCAAACTCACTATTTAAAAATATTTCATTATTTTGTATTATATATAAGTAGAACACAATTTTTGTGTCAGATAACATAAATATTAGGCAGATCGACCTTTCATACATTTTTTAATAAAACTACATATTTATGCAATGAAATATCTTACTATTATTTATAATATTTTTTCAAATATGACATTACCTTTTTAAAATCATGCTTATCTGTAGCATATGCAGAGACATAATAGGTTGAAGACTTGAAGCATATGCACAATAATCATAGCTATATTTCCATAATGAGTTACATCATCCACAAATCTACATACAGTATTCATCTACTCGACTACTCCCAATCAAACTTCTTCTTTAGTTTGGTAGATGGGAAAGGGTACCATGATGAAAAATAAATCCCATCACTCTTTGCTATCCAATAACATGTATGTGATTTACATGGAATTTTAGGAACCCATCTAGCATTAAAGGCATCGAAAGCTTTGGTCTTTTGTCCCCAAGTGAGACGACAAAAGAACAAAGTCGTCCAAGGTATGAGACAAAACCCAAATAGAAAATTCTGATTGGTTGTCAATGTTCGATTTCCCAAATCGTCGTTTTTAGATGCGCAATGCACTAACAATGGCTCAGTGTTAGGAGGAAGACGATTCATGACATTAACCTCAAACTTGTATACATGTAAGATGCATGCCAATGACTGAAAATTGGTATGATAGAGGATGATGATAAATAATAGAAGGTGTTTATTGATTGTATGATTCATTTTTCATCAACCAAAGGGATGTGATGCATTTTTCTCTGAGTGAATTATGGTGGTTGCTATTTTTTTTATATAGAGAGTTGTCCCAATATTAGATTTTGATAATATTATAGAATGTCATTGAAAAATAGTATTTTACTTTTGATTCCCAATATAAGATTTGCATATGTAATAATGTATGCTTAATAATGCGTGGGCCATGAGAGATTACATACCATTTGATTTTTTTTTTCATTAAGTATTAGTTGTATTAATATAATTTGATGTACGAATTACTTTTCTTTTTAACAAAATATTTGATGTACGAATTACTTTTCTTTTTAACGAAATATTTGATGTATATCTATCAATTATACTTATATAATAAGGAGTACCATTTACGAAATTTAGTAAGTTGAAAAGTCAATGCAATAAATGCATTACTATTTTGAGCAATATAATATAATATCATATATATACTTATATAAAATGAGATTCTATTTACTATATTTACTATCCAGAAAAGTCAACTGCATTAAATGTCATTACTATTTTGGTATTATAATATTTTATTTATTTAATTGATTTATTATTTGTTTTATTTTAAAAAGGTAAGTATAATAAAAAGATATTAATAATAAAGAAATCAAATACCAAATAAAAATGTACACTTTGACTTATTTGATTATATTTGGTATTTGATTATACCAAATATATTTCTATTTAGTATATACATTAAATACTTACTAAAGTATTTATTTGTTTTATTTGTCAATGTTAAGTATAAATTTGTTTATATTATCAAATCATAAAAAAATATTTAATCCATATTGTAAAAAAAAATAAAAAAATCATATAATTTTATAACAATTCTACTACACTATTTAACAATATTTCTTTTTTATTATATAATAAAATAATAATTAAATATTATATGGTGAACAACAATAAGTAAAACTGTTACTTTCTCTTATATCAAGGGATAAATTTATATGCTAAAATTAATTTTTTATTAGTATAAATGTTTTAGTGAGATAATATATTAATTATTTTACAAGCTAGCCCTAACATGCTCATATTTAATGTTTTAAAAGATGTAGAAAAAAAACTTATAATAACTCTATTGTTTTTTAGACTTAAACGTTGATTAAAAGAGGTAAAAATTCCTAATTTTTTAGACTTAAACGTTGATTAACACCATAGATTGAGAGTTTATATTTAGTAAAATTCCTAATTGTAATAAAAAAATTAATTTTTGCTATATTTTAGAATATCTTTAAATTCATTAAAAAAAAAAAAAAAAAAAAAACTACAATGAAAAAAGCAAGTCAGCTATATATCGATTTGTTGTACTCCTCAAATCACATTCACAATTTGGCTACAAGGAAAGGAAACTCATTGATTAAAATATTATTTTGTCAGTAGTCTTAATGTACAAGAGACTTTAAGACTCCACTTGAATATTATAAAACTTTTATTGAACATTGTACAATTTTCTTGCGTATTATAAACTTTTATTGAATATTGAATCTTACAATATGATATTCTCCAAATAAATATATCTCGTGCTTCGCACGGGTCACGTACTATATATATCCCGTACATTTTTCTTTATTCATGTATATAATTATAAACCTGGATAAATAGCCTTAAAATTGTGCACCCCGTGCATCGCACGGGCTCTGTACTACTTATATTAAAAGATTAACCATTTACCAAATTTAGTAAGAAGAAAAGTCAAACAATAATTATTACATTCTATTTTTAGCAATTTTTCAATTTTCTTTTTATTTTATTGCAAAAAAAGCGAACTATCATGAATGCATTCTAAATTCGTCTGTTGATTAATTTTCTTTTTAATTAATTACTAGAAAATCGATAAACCATAACTGCATCCTATATGAGTTTTGTAAATGAGGTACTTTCGGGTATTGTTCACGATTTTGTAGATTCCAAAAATTCTTTATCCTTTTTAGTTTTTTTTTTTTTTTTTAGGGAGATCTTATTGCATAGAAAATCTGTTCTCATTTTGAACTTAAATTTTAAAATTTTTTATTCATTATGATTATATAGTTGCCTTAAAATCGGACTCAACAAAAATTTTGAATGAGGCAAAATACAATAACATCTTTTTCTATAAATCAAAAATTAAATATATATTTATAATTTTGTCGAATTCAAAATTCCATTTCATTATTCTTTAGAAAAATACTGATCGCATCTAATATCAAGTATCATTTTAAATTTAAATTTAAAATTTTTTATTCCTTATCATTTGGTTGCCAAAAAAATCGGGCTGAATACAAAATTTGTATTAGGCAAAATGAAATTACATATTTTTACATAAATTTAATTTAAAGTAGACCAAATTTGAATTGAAAATTTAAATTTTAAGATCCCCTAGGATTTGGTTGCAACAAAATCGGATATAATGAAAAATTCTACTGGACAATCAAATCAACAATTTTTTTGTTAAAAATGGCAACAAATCTTGAATCTAACATAAAACAATTTCATTTTTTTTTTTCCCGAAACGATAGAGGATTTATATATATATGCACAAATGTGCAAAGTTACAGCCCCTGGCTGAATAATACAACCGACGACTGAGAAAACTGGGAGGACAGGTCCGAAGACCGCCTAAATCCGAAAACTAGCAATGCTAGAATACTCGGCAACACACTAAATACAACACACAAAACAACAACAAAGAACAATAACACAAGACCCCCACGGGGTAATTCCCGAGTGTCGGACCCCCACAGAGTAATGAAAATGACACTCGGGTGTACTGAGGCCAACGGCCCAAACCTAAAACACAAAGCAACACAGACACGGATACAACCGGGGCCAATGGCCCAAACCTAGAACACGAAACAGAAAAGAGAACAGCACAACCTAAACAAAAAAACACTAAAAATAAAAGTTAAACCAAACAACAACTAAAAGGCATCCCTCCCTCAGCAGAGACTTCCAAGGAGGCCATCGAACTAAGCCAGCAACTGGAGAATTCAAAGCAGCGGAACCCCGCTCACCACTGCCTAAGGCCTAGCGAACCCGGAGACCGAAGCCCCAAATTACTCCCAATAGTCGACCTTCACTCCAACCGCAGAAACCACTTCATCCCCAACCCGGCAAACACCTCAAGCCAAGAACCAAGCCGACCCGAAATCGCCGAAACCCCAGCTCATTCGGAAGCCGGCTAGAACCCAAAACTCGAAACAAAGAGCCGTGAGAGAGGAATTGAAAGATCCAAGTCCAGCCGCCCCACCCAGCCTGATGAACAGAGCCAAACCCGCCGGAATAAAACAAGGCACCCGCCGACCACAACCAAAAGAATACCGAGACAAATTGGCATCCGTAGAAGGCAGCCAACACAACTCACCTCTTACAGTCGCCAAAACTCCGGCGGAATAGAACCGTATCAATCGACGGCGAGATAGCCACAAGGACCAATCGAGTGTACCTTGAATCCAGCTTGAAACACCGAGCCCATCAGTCCGACCACGGCGACCCGACCTCACCCCCTCTCCAGCCACTGTCTTCCGTTCAGCCCACTCTCGTCGAAGCTCCCGAAGGAAGGGCGCAGAAAGGGGATCTGCAAACCCTAGGCGCATCTTTCGGCTGAGTGCTGAAGTGGAGAGACGAGGCCAAATCGGGGGTGAGCGGCGAAGCACGTTCTCCGGCTAACCCGGACTACCGCCGGGGAGAATATAAGGCTCGATCAGAAGACGATGATGCAGGGGTTTGGTTAGGGATTTGGATTCAGCTGTGCTTGACAATATCCATAAAACAATTTCATTACTTTTAAAAAGTTATTAATTTTCAAAGGTTGGGACTCTTTCAATTTAATAATACCAAAATTTCAGATTTCAAATACTATAAGTTCGAAATTTATGTTTTTTCGAAACCGATAATCCTATTTTGGAAATAGATACAATCTTATATTTTGGAAACCGCTAATATTATGTTTTTCAATTTGACATGTATTTCATAAATTACACATTTTCAAAATTTTGACTTATTTTGTTTAAATTTCATGATTTCGAATTTGAAATCTTCTGTTGGAGTAATTTGTGATTACTAATATTTTTTATACTTTTAAACATATTTTTCGAGTAAATTTTTAACGCATTCTATAGTTTAAATTATATGTATATGTTAAATTTAAATATCCTTAGACATGTTTTGGTTACAAAATAGTTTAGAAAAATTTTAAGTGAATTCAAATTTTTTTAAGAATAATATGTAATATTTTACATAATCTTATATATGTTATATAATATTTTAGGTGTTTTTAATATTTTAAACATGCATGTTTTATGTTATCTTAGACAAGATAATTTTTTATATTGTAAATGGTATCTCATGTTAGCTCCATTTAATTATTTATAATTATTATTCAATATCGTTTACTCACTTATTAATTTATAATTATTATTTTATATAATTTACCCGTGCATCGCACGGGCTACGCACTAGTAATATTATTAGGTTAGGTGATTATATATATGTGATATTCTTGAGTAGCTATAGTTTATACATATCCGCTTGATTATGGTTTTCAATATATTAAATAATACATAATTTTTATTCCCGTCAAGAATGAAAAGACCGTACGAAAATTAGATAGAGGAAGACCATAAAATCGATTCCCGCTCATGTTTGTGATTGTGATCAGGGTGAGTTACGTTTATGAAGTTCTGATCCACAGATTAAATTAAGACATCCTACATCAATGATATAGTTCGAGATAGGTGACTCCGGTCTTTCGAAGGGTTCTTCCCGGTCGCGGCGTGAGCACGTCTAACTCGATCCGATCTAAGCTCGAATGCTCGCCGGTACCTGCAAATACGCCAGAATTTTTCCGGCGCAAGACCCTCCGACGCCCAAGTTAGTGTCTCGGTTTTTAGGAAGAAAATGTGTGTAATTGATGTTGTAGAAATGTAATTGTGATAAGTGTTCCCTTCTTCTCCGTATGTTTACTATATATATAGCATCTTACTGTGCACTTCCCTAGGTGGTGACGAGCCCTTTAGGCCTTCGCTGACCGAGCCTGACTCGACCACTGCTCGCACCAATGGGTCGATGCTCGACCCATTTTATTACTGCCAAGAGTCGACCTTTGGGTTGATGCTCGGGTCTCCAGGATGATCGGCCTCTGCTCCACCTCGACCCTAAGAGCTTACTTGAGCCTTGTTCGACCCATTGCCCTTGCTTGAGCCTCGGTCTAAGTTCGGCCGTTAAGACCGGTCGACCCCACTTGGTCTTGCCTCATTTTGTCCGATCCGCAAGCCTATTTGACTTTGGTCTAAGGTCGCCCGCTAAGACCGGTCGATACTAATATCCCTATCAATCAAGAAACTCAATCTCTATAGTATTTCATTAATTCAAAAGCCTTTGATGACACAAACAAAATATTATGACACTAGAATTATTATTCATGGAGGATAACTATTGAAATTGTATATATGTGATTATAAATTCTTACACAACAAACAAAACTGATGAATTAGTAAACAAATCATGTCCCATGCATCTTAACTTTTTTATATTATTTTTAAAATTAATACATAAGAACAATTTCATTATAACTTTCTCTACTTCAAAATCATTAACACATTAATTAACCATCTATTTGGTTAATTGCCATTCATACATCTTGACGAGCTCGGCCGGAGGATACTTAGGTGAAAGATAAATACCATCACCTTTGGCCATCCAAGCCAATTTTTTTGACCTAAATCGCCTCCTTATTGCAATATCAATAACATCAAAAGCCTTTTCCTTATTACCCCACCAAAAGTGGCAAAAAACAACGTAGCAAACGGGTTGTCACAAAAATGGAAATTAAAATTTTGGTTTGATGTTATATTATGATATCCAAGATCGTCGTCTTTTGACGCGCAATGTAGCTGCAAGGGTTCGCTATTTGGCGGGAGATTATTAATGGCGTAAATATAAGTTGGCCTGGGAGAAAAACAACCCGATATTACTCGAACATGGCTGCTATATATAACGAAAGATAGTAAAAGAATCTTGAAGAGCATTATTCGATAATTTCGAATTATAGCTATTTTTACTTATTCATTTGATTTTTGCAATGGACTCTTAAGATCAGTTTAAATAGATTGTTTTTTCATTCAATTGTGCACTGCGCATTGCATAATTACTGTAATCGAATTGCAACAAGATAATGTGATTTACAATTTGATTAGCGAATTTGACAATAATAAGATTTAATGGGATCCCTTTAAACACCAACTAGCACGTAGCCCGTGCGATGCACGAGACATAAGTATTAATGAGTTATTTCCACATAACTTGTCCGTTAAGTAGCTCGTACGATTCACGAGAGATATTAAATGAGTGGACCATAGAGCTTGTCCGTTCAGGCCTAAAAAATAATAGAGTTTGATCATCTATCTTTTTACATCTTTTCATCAACGTCATTTTTTTATCGGAACATTAAACCTGAGTCTGGTAGAGCTAGCCCGTAAATTAATTAATCTATTATCTCGCTCACATGTTTATAATAATATAAATTTGATTTCATTATATATATTTATTCATTGATATAAGAAAAATAACAATTTTACGTAATCTTATTCCTCGTATAATACTTATATTATTTCATTATAAAATTTATTGTAGTATAATGTCATTATTATTATAAGTTATAGATGTAATCTTCTTCTTCTTTTTGTTTTATGTAATTAAAATATTTAATGTATGTTCATATTATTTATTAATGTAATTAATTTAAATTATGTAAATAAATTTAAAGTAAAACATTTTACAAAATATACACAAATGTTTTTTCAGAATTTAATTTTTTTACAATAAATAACAGCTTTGAAATTTTATGCAATTATTAAAACCGATTAAATTTGCTTTATTAAAATCGATTAAATCTTTATTTATAGGCTTGACATTAAAACCGATTTTATGATATTTTTTAACTAAACCGATGTTATGGAATAAAACAAATCTATACTTACATTTGACTTTTCCAGCAAATGTAAAAAAATCGGTTCTGATTTTTATCCCATAACAAATCTTTAATGTCAAGTTATAAATACCGAAACAAATCTGTAATTAATGTCATTCTATTTCCAGCAAACATTAATTACCTTTGACTTTTTTTTATACTAAATTTGGTAAACGGGATACCTTTTAATATAAGTATAGATTGTCAAGCGTATTCTACACTTAAGAGCACAATTCTGAGAATATTCGGTTTGTACTTGCTCGGCCCTGCCCAAGAAAATTATTTCATTTTTTCTTTTTCCAAAATTATGCCTACATTTATTTTCAATGCAATTTGTGGCCTAGAAGAGGTCTTGGGTTGTGTTTTGTATGTATTTGTTGTTATTTTATGTGTTTTTAAATGATTATTTTGTGCTCGTTTAGTGTATTTTAGGTTTTTATTGGTCCATTTTGTCGTTTTTGTTCGTTGATGTGTTTTCGTGTCATTTTGGAGGTTTGTGCATTTTATTTCTCTTTGCTATATTTTATTTTCGTAGGAAAAATGCGTTCGGGAAGTCAAAGAGAAACCCACCATAATATTCATAGATAATTTATTTTTTTACTATAAAAGTAAACAACCATTATTTAACTATCACTACAAAAAAATGTTATATTCCAACGGAAAATTCTACGATAATACATTCCAACGAAAGTTCCAACGGATATTCCAATAGTATAGTTTCTGTTGGAATCATTCTAACGAAAATATTGCGTTGGAATGAGTTTTCCATTGGAATTTTAGATAGAATTTGATAATTCCAATGACTATTTTTCCAACGATTTTTTAATTTACCGTAGGAATTTTCGTTAGAATTTTTATTTCCACCTCTGTTAGAAAATCTACCGTTGGAATCTTCAAAATCCAACGAAAATTCCAATGGAAAACTCGTTCCAATGGAATATTTTTGTTGGAATTTCCGTTGGAATTCCATTAAAATATATTTATATTGGAACTTTCCGTTGGAATTTGATCATTTTGTTGTAGTGTATGCAATGTGCATATCAAATTGAAGTTCATCAAGAGAGTGATTAATTTGGTATGTCATCTACGATAAACTGATAACAAATACAAAAAATTATAAAAATTTGAAGTATATTTATAAGTTAGATTAATGTTTTATAATTTTAAAAGTTCTTATACCTATGATTATAAGTTCAAATCTGTTTAACTACTCCAAACTGGCAAAAACTAGACATTTATCATTACCAAACGCAGAAAACCTCGGAAGTATATTTTACTATCCCTAGAAATTGCAGTGACTAAAAAAACACATTTTAGAAACTAGAGAATCATGCAATTGAATGCTAATAAAAATATGGTCTAAAAAATATACATAACATTGGGGCCCCTTTTTATTCCCAATCATACTTTTTAATTCCCATCAAGTAAACACCATCAGTATGTGCTGACCATTTGCACTTAGGCCCATAACAAGGATTTCCATGCCATTTTGCATCATAAGCTTTGAAAGATTTACTTTTACTGCCCCAATAGAGCTCACAATGAAACAAAGTTGTAAAAGGTATACTACAAAAAGAAAACCGAAAATCTTGATGCCACGTCAGCGTATGGTTTCCAAGGTCGTCGTCTTTCGATGCGCAGTGCACCAAAAGCACCGGAGAATCTCCCGGGAGATCGCTGTAAATGTGAACCTCGTATTTGTGAAGTAAAAAACAATTGTCCCCTTTGCGAAACAAATGAGCAAACAAAATGGAAGATATTAAGAGGATTTTGGTCATGCCATGGAAATTAAACATGTTAGAAATATGATGTGTTTTTGTTGTGAATATTAAGATCATGGATTTAGTCTTATTTATATCTGAATTATTCATGTGGTAGGTCAAAATGCTAGTAATAAAATTTTGAGAATTCATATGTTTATTATATGTGGTATAGGTTAGATTTATTATCTGGTTCGAAATTTCGGATTACGGTAATTAGTAGTACAATCATATTGTGCAATTTTTAGGATTGTGGTTACAAAATTTTAAAGCTTAGGCCTCTTTTAATTTAGAGTTTTTTTTTTTTTNCCTAATTTTATAAATCCAAGTCAATCAATTGAATCGAATATCAGATTATAAGTTCACTAGTGTAAATTATTGCATCATACAAAGAAGAAATAAGAAAGAAATATAAATTAATAAACTATATCAAGAAAGTCATTACAATCTCTATTTACAAATTGCGAAAGTTTCTCTATAAACAACATTTTTTATTCTATTATGGCTACCATCATTTCCACAAGTTAATATTTTCAAGCTCTTTGAATTAGTAATTCGGAAAACAATAACGTATAATTGACCATGGCTAAAAACCAACTTCTTCATGTAAAGTCTGACATAAAATAGTTATTGACATTGACTCTGATTAATTGTCATTGCATAATAAATTATAAAAGGAAATTGTCTACGCTGAAACTTAGATGACACCCAATTTTTTTTTCAAACTCATAATTTTCTTAATAAACTCAATTAATCGAATCAGACATCAAATTAAAATCACAACTTAGCCATTCTCGTTTTGGTTGGCATAGATCTACTGATTCTTTGATTATTTTGAACCAAGAAACAGAACCTATAGAAACAAAACCTATAGAAGCTTAAATTTTGATTAATTTTTGAACCAAGAAACAGAACCTATAGATCTACTAGTTTTTTTCAAACTGATTCTTTGATTAATTTTGACAACGAGATAAAAATTGTCCAAGCTCATCCTCCCAACCGAACGTGCTCATAGTCTATAGAAGCTTAAAAAGGGTATTCAGTATTCTAAGCAACTGCAATAATCGAGGTCAAAGTCGATAGAGATGAAATTTGAATTAGATTGGTTGACCCACTTTCATTTTGAATTTTCATTTCCCTTGGATTTTGAAAGAATTTGTTGAGATTTCCTATTCCAATTTTGTATCCCATTCCATGTTTATTCAAGTCAATGAATGACACATGTACATAATAGTGACATATCTATTAATATATAAAGAGACAATGATATTTATTTGAAATAGTAACTAAAAATCAGCAAAAAAATATTTGGTTTCTCGCCTAAAATATTTACTAAATTGGATAATCTTTTTGGTCAAAATTTGAAAAATTCCGCCAATGTAATATCAACTTCATTTTTTATGAAAATTTAAAATGTAAGCATTGGGTTTGTTTGGAAACAACCTAATTTTGTGTCTATTGGATATATTTATGCTATTTATTTTTTTAAGAGCCGATTGTCTTGCCAATCAAAAAATTCGAATTTTGTTAATTTAAACTATCAGTTTATTTCAAACATTTTTTTTTTGCTAATAAAAAAATATGAATTTAGTATTTCAACCAACGATTACCAATTATAAAAAATACCATTTTGCCACTAATAAAATACAATTACATATATGAAAATCTAGATGATTTTTTTTTTTTCATTTGGTTCATAATCACAATAAAAATAAATTTTAAACCTAATTATCATTCAAATCTATAAGGTAGCACAATTTAAGTCCACTACAGTAAAGAAAGTAAATTTCATTTCCATATAAAACATTGGATTTTTATTTATTTTTTCAATATAAATGCTAAAATATTATTCCATAAGGTGGCACAATTTAAGTTTTTTCAAAATTCTAATTGATAGTAATTTAACATTATTAAAATTTTAAAATAGTATCCTAGGTGTAGTGAAACTCATTTACACGATTTTCATACCTAAAAACAATCGAAAAATTGAAGATTTTTATAAACTTGCCAACTAAAAATCGGATATGTAATAATCCTAAAATAAGCATAATTTGAAGATATTGAAACTCATATTAATGGTAATTTGACAAAAGTAGAATTCTAAAATAAGTCCATTTGCAAAGAAATATTAGATTACGATTCTTATTTTTTTCATATAAATGCTAAAACCTGATTCCATAAGGTAGCACAATTTAGGTTTTTTTAAAACTATAATTGATAGTAGTTTAAACTTATTAAAATTCTAAAATAATACCCTAAGAAAGTAAAACTAATTTGCATGATTTTCATTCCTAATTAATAATCGGACAAATTGATTTTTTTTTTCTTATAATCTTACCAATAAAAAATCAGATATGTAATATTAAAAGCATAATCTAAATCTCCAAAAATATTTGCATTAATCTAATTAACAAATGAAACATAGAATTTCAGTATAAAAAAGACCGCAGTGATTATTTATCGGATAATATTTAATTAAAAATATTAAATACTTAAACTTTACCAAACCAAAAATGTTGTGTATAGAGAAATGTTTTATATACTTTGTAGTTCTCTTTTTTTTTTTTCATTATAATCAAATACTTAATTTTTAAGGAAAATTATTTAAATAAAGTTTAGAAAAAAGGCTTTGAGGAATAAACCCACCGTGCAGCACACGGACAGTACACTAGTTTGTGCTCCAAGAGTAAAGTCGGGTATAACTAGAGATGAGGCAGGTCGGGTATTCACTAATTTAAGGACATCAGTACCCGAACTGTATTATAATAAAACTATATATATTTATGTCTCAAAACATTTTTATAAAATTGCATCATGATATATTATGAACAATAAAAACATGGATGAATAAAATATTATGAATCAAATTTTGTCGCATTAATTTAAGAATTTTATTACATGAAATATTATGAACAACTCTAATCATTATAGTGACACTCTATCTGATAAGAGCTGGACATGGCCTAATGCTGTGATTATACATAGAAAGTAGTGAATAATTCACATACTCCATGTTTTATTTCAATACGATCAATCCTCCTTTTATATCACGTCAAATCGACATACATACTCGACCACAACTTTTTCTATTCCCAATCGTAAGCCTTCACGTAGTTTGTCGGAGGATAGCCCGAGAAATAAATACCGTCGCCCCTTGCCGACCAATAGCACTTTCTCTCCGTGCATATTGGCTTGTTCCACTTCGCGTTGAAAGCCTCGAAAGCTATATCCTTATAACCACCCCACCACAAATGACAGAAAAACAGAGTAACATGCGGCCTTTTGCAAAAATGAAAGTGAAATTCTTGGTCCGTGGTCACAGTATGGTTTCCCATATCATTGTCTTTGGAAGCACAATGTACGATTAATGGATCGGTGTTTGGCGGGAGATTGTTGATGACATGAACATGGTAAGACATTAGTTTATTAATGAAACAAGCATTTGCTTGGGAGATATTGCAGGTGACATATAGGATGAGTGATAGTACCACTATGTACTTCAACATGGTTTTGTCCCAAAATAGTTCGATTTTGTGAGAATGATATGTTGTCCTTTATATATAGCTTAAGTCCTTTGGGCACTTTTACCAAAAATATATAAAAAAAAATGATATTTTGTTTTGGTTGAGATAATTTGGTGTGTCGTCTCAGATTTGAAATTTGCGTAACAAAGTGAATGGTGGGATTTAGATTTTTCTGGAATATTGTATTCTAGAATTAGATCACCGTAATTGTTGTGGAATTTTAGTCACAAAATTTTGGATTTGTTGAATATGATATTGTGGCTGGCCTTTTCAATAAAGATAAATCTTTTTTATAATAATATTATTTTGACTTAATTTGTTGATATAATATAATGGATGACGAAAATCATATGTTAGATATTGTTGATTTTGAAGTTATCACACATAGAGGTGGGTCCCGCTTGTGGTTGCGGTGCCGTGGTACGGGTCTCTCGGGGTTGGCTCTGCGAGGAACTGTTGGGAGCGCTTCCGGTCTGTTGGCCCGAATTTTGAACTTGCAATTCTGGTTTCGAACTGGAACCGGAACATGAACCGAAACCGACAATTCAATCTTTTTTCTTAATGTTTTATTATTTTTTATTTGTTTTAAATAAATCGGACTGGCCCGAAACTGTTAGTTCATTGAATTGGCCCGTGTTTGTTCCCAGGCCAGTTCAGGGCTCTCTAAAACGAGGGCCGAAACCGACCCAAAACCAAGTTTTGCCCATATCTAAATTAGGTCGTGTGGAGAGCGACACGTGTGTTCTGCGCCCCATTCCGAGATCGATCAAGCCGTCAAGGAGTTGGGCGGTCGCTAGAGGAAACCCGCCACCCAAAAGGAAACTATTAAAATACTTTGGGTTAAAGACGAGGATTTTCACATGAAGAGAATTTTATGATGGTAACTACATCACTTTGTTAAAAAGATCATGCAATATTTATGAGTGCTGAAATTGTGTTGATTTATTGTCTTAGTTTAGGTACGTTGTCTCCTATATCTACATTTGAAATAATTTATACACAAGGGGCACAAGTCAATTATATAAATAGGACTTCCCAAAGCAAGCATATCATCAGTACATCACACATAAAATTCACTTACAAACAATCTAAAAAAAAAAAACAATCAAATCAAACATCATAATCATGTCTAAAACTACAAATAATAATATTTATCTCCCGTTATTTTCTCTCCTCTTTATGAACCTTTTGGGTACAACACGGAGTTGTTTCTTTACTACCGAAATCCACGTCACTTTTGTCAATAATCTTCCGCAGAATTCTAAGCCACTTTTCGTGCAATGTGCATCCAAGGACGATGACCTTGGAAATCACACGCTGGCATACAATGAGAGTTGGGGCTTCAAATTCTGTGTAATTCCTTTTGCCACCTTATTTTACTGCAACCTTAATTGGGGTGAACTGTTCATGTCTTTACATGCTTACGATGCCAATTGGGATTATCGTCCCTGCGAGTATGTTCGTAATGGACTCGGTTGCACGTGGAAGGTAACTAGCGCTGGCGCTAGCTTAGCGGAAGGCGAAAATCATCCATGGGAAGCATATTATTAATCGTGGGCTAATTCTATTTGACCATAATGTATACATTTTAAATTGTACTAGTAAAGTGCACATGCGACGTAACTTTCTTTTGCTGATTATTTTTGAAGTAAAAAAATGATTAATTTATAAACATATCATTGCGAGCATGAAATAAAATAAAGAATAATATGAATAAGTTAAAACATAATAGCATAATGAAGTTATATGGAGAATTGAAATATCATAATAATATCCTAATATAAAATGGATGGAAAAATAAAACGATTCTCTAATACAAAGAAGTTGAGCAAGCTCTAAATTAAACTGTGCTGAGTTTACGAGTTTTACAAAACCATTCTATTCTGACACCAAAATAATTAAATATTTGTCTAATGTATATTATAGATGCAATTGTCTAGCAATTGCCTCCGCCACCACATTCAAATCTCATCTATAATTTATGATTGACAGGAATAAGAAATTTAATTTCAGTTGATAATTTGGTAGCTCAAACCTCTATAGTATTTTTGACGGATCTTCTCCTGTATAAATGAAATGTAATTTATAAATATAAATATTGTAGATTTGCATAAATCCAAATTAAAAAGTGTTTCTCTTCTCAATTGATCAGTCACTCAATAATTGGATAATATATATACATAATTGCCACATCCTCAAATAGCATTACAGTTGCGGTGTGGTTTCGGTCAACAACATTTAGTACCAATCTATATTTATGACTATTGAATATTATTTAGAATTTTATTTTATTCATAACATTAGTTTTTGTTATTTCATCTGAGTTGTTTTCATGTATTTGTTATTACATTTTTTTATGTTTTGTTGTTATCTTTCTTTTCCACAGGCAACAATTTCGGCCCATCTTGGATTATGTCATATCCTAGGCGTGGGGAGAGTGGGATTGGATCGGGCCTAAAATGGATCGAGTCGAGTTGAGTTTGGATGCTTAGTCGATGGAGGAGCTGCAAAGTGGTATTCATCGTCTGCAATTTTGTTTTTAGTTTCACACTTTAATATTTTTTTAAAATTTTTTTAGTGATGTGTCATATTGTTTTTAATTTTATTTAAAAATTTATTATAATTTTGCCCACGTTAGATGAGACGCTGGCTTCACTATTTTGGAATGGTCACACATAAGTGATCTGATGACTTTCAAATTTTAGATTGTCCGAGTCCTTATCTTTGAATATATTATTAACAAGCATTTTTAGGCAAAATGACAGACAAACTACATCAGAAAGGTAAAATTGATACTGAATTTAATTATTGTTATAATTTTATCATTGAAAATATTACATTTAAATTTTTCTTATATTTAAAATGACAAGAAACTACATCAAAAGATAAAATTGATACTGAATTTACTTATTATTATAATTTTGCCGTCAAATCTTGTCACAACATCCTAGACTCTAATTTACAACAGTTTGCTAGGAAAATGGATATCTGCAGTTTGCAAGTAAAATAGGAATGTGAAAGTGGATTTAAACTATATTGAATAGGAAAATGGATATCTGCAGTTTGCAAGTAAAATAGGAATGTGAAAGTGGATTTAAACTAATATATTGAATTGTTTTATGAATAAATGTATAAGTTAAAGTTTAATTTTGCTTTGTATGTACATATTATAAACTATTATTTTCATACTTTTTTTATATATGCAATTAATATTTATCATATATATAAATTATTGCATATATAAATTATTGTTGCCACTATTTGTTCTCAGTAAATTCATATATTCAACGGTTTACATAACAAATTAAAAGTTAACTTCATTATTTGTTAATATTCTAGAAAATTATTAGTAAATATTTTAATAAATAGATTTTCAGATAGCAAATTGGAAGTTAACTTCAATATTAGTTAATATTTTAGAAAATAATTGGTAAATAATTTAGTAAAAATAGTTTTAGATAACAAACTGAAAGTTAACTTTAATATTGGCTAATATGTTAGAAAATAAATGGCAAATATTTCAGTAAATAGATAAAGATACGACGCTACGTACCTATTTATATTCTTATTATTCATTTAGTAATAGTTTAATTTAAATTATATTCTAGCATTAAAATTGATTTAAAATAACGGGAACGAACGAAAAATATTTATGTGGAGTGAAATGTAGCGCAAACCCTTAAAGTCGAATTTTAATTTCTTTATTACTCTATTGATCTAGAGGAATATAAATGCATATTTATAATATGTGATGTTCTTTTGTTAACGGTTTTTTTTTTTAATTCAATTTGAAAATATGAATTATCTATTGAAAAGATATGATTGTCATACCCGTATACCTGTCTAACAATAGTCTCTCTTTTTATTATCACTACTATTTTTTTATACAATAAAATTACAGATAAAACACATGTTTACAATCTAGAAAATAACTACTAATACCCAATTTTGATAAACCACATTACAATCTAGAAAAACAACTACTAACAGCCAATTCAAACAGCTATACAATTGAATCAAGTGAGAGATCTCCACAATGAATCCTATAATGATTAATTAACTATAATAAAACACACCCATAAGACTACAATACTACAATACTCTCACAAGTGAAGAATACAAACTCCTAAAAAGGAGAATAAACCTACAAAACAACACAATACACAAAAAACACACACTACTAGTAATGTAAAACGTGAATAAGAACGGGAATAAATGAGATACTCTCTCGTGCAGAATTCACAATACTAGATAAAATTCAATAATCAACCACCGAT